AGTGCTCAAACTAGGAATTTCAATTGCAAATAGAGAAATTAATTCCAAGGAGTGGTGCTGGTTATCAACAGCTGTTTCACCTTCATATTTTTTGTACAAAATGAACCTGATTTACTGTTTCTTGCTTTACCAAAGTTACTCTTGCACTCTAGAAAAGTGGATAATTTACAGGCTGTTAAGCTTTTCCTGCTTTGGCCAAGTGGAATTTTCTACTGTGCTTCAGTGTTTCTGCCTGAAGGTCAAAAACATATATTTGGGGCATCTGTAGAAATATTGGTAAATAATTGATGGATGTGGACGTGTATTTTATTTGTAGGGGTTACATAAGCAGATCTCAGGATCACAGAGTGATTCAGGCTGGCAGGGATCACAGAAGATCATCCAGTCCAATACAAAGGTTCTTTGCAAGGAAGAGTTTCTAGTTTCACAGAGGATGCTGTGATTGGAAAAGAAACTGAATTGTGAAGTTATATCTTGTTACTGCAGAAACAAGGGTACAGCATGATGATATTTCTTTGTTCTGTCATATACCTTAAGAAGAGCTCTTCTTCCTGTAGAAATTAGTGTTGGTGAAATAAAACATCCAGTGTTGGGTCTTTCACTGCTTTTGGAGTAGTACTTAGGTGTAATCAGTTTAGGGCCACAGTATCCATCCCTCACTCACAGAGCAGTGCTTTGCTCTCTGGCTTATCACAACAATGGTCAACAGCAATATAACTGATGTAGTGACCTGAGGAATCCTGGCAGGATCTGTAATTTGCATTAATTACACCCTGAGCCTCACTCTGGAAATAGCACATGCTGTCACAGGGGCTCAGAAACTGCATCAGTGACATCTTCAGCAACTGATAATATTTCCCATTCACTGTAACTATTTACAGAATTATAAACATGTATTGATAGAAAGCCCTCAAGTGATGACCCTGGTGCAGTTGGAACGATGCATTTAATCATTCATCACCTGCACTGATAAATTCAGGCTTAATGATTTTAATCATAGCTCAGCATTGCACTGAGTGGCTTCTGTTTGGAAAACTCTGTGTTGGAATAATCACTTGAGACCTCTGCAAGGCAGATATGGCACTACAGACTCCCCTTGGCTATGTTAGGGCTCCAGACTCTTACCTGGGCAGCAGCTTTTTATCCCTGACATCCCAACGTTAGGAATCTCTTCCCTCTTGCTCTCACAGGAGCTCTACAAATCCACTGACAAAAAGATAGAAATACCAACAGAAAACATGTTTAAATTCTCAGCCCTTCACCATTTCAGTGTTTCCCCCTTACAACAATTTCTGGGCTCGGACAGGCTTTTATACAACTCAGTTGCATAACAACCTTTCAGTGAACCATTAAATTGCTTACACATACAACAAAATTCTGTGACAGATGATGAAAATAAAAATTGAAAAAAGGCCTTATTGAGAAAACAAAAGGAACTTATTGCCACATTTTAAACCCCTAAATATTCTAATTAAGATGGAGCAAGACACATAGTGATAGTAGTATGTGAATTTTCTAGCTTTTAAGTATAATTGTTAGGACATTATAAAGATACTTCCAGGAATATATTGGAATCTCTGGTCTCTCTTTTTGTACTAAATATAACATTAATTTCAAATCAGCAAAGGTTACAAATGTTAATTACTGCAGTAATATCAAAGTACTCCAAGCATGTTAAGTGTATTCAAATGAAAAAGACATTAAAATAACAGAGATTTCTTTGGGTTCATGACAACAAGAGAACAAATGCCTCCTTCTACAGTATTTCTAATCTAAAGTTTTTGCTTTAAAGAGTAGCTGTTTCCAATTATTATGAGTATGCCTCTTCTATGGGTATTCATTAAGTCTGGTAGAAAAAAGTCTCAAAACTGAGTCTAAACACAATTTACGAGTATTTAAGAAATACTGAATGTTGTTGTCCTAATTTCACCTAATTTAAAACCTGTTAAGAAGGATTCCTCAAATGCCAGTTTTTCTTCATTGTGAGTGTCTCAGAGAGTTTTTTGATTCTATTTGAAGAGTTCTAAAATTAGCACTCAGCATTCGATGCACAGACAGATTCTTCTCATTATAATTTTTTTTTTCCTTGGAAAACAGGAATCAAAAGAAACAGAAAATCCACGTTGGATTTTCAAGAGGTGACCTACCCAGTGTGCACCCAGTGACCCCTTGCTCAGTGAGGAAACAAGATTTTCAATAGCCACATATGCTTTGTGTGCTCTGTCAACTGCCCAAACCATTACCTGGTAACTTTGACAATTTAATCTCTTTTTACTGGAAGACTTTAAAAGAAGTTGCACAGTAAGGCATCAGAAGATGGAATGTTGGCCAGCTTCAGTGAAAGGAGTCACAATTTATTACCAGCAAAGACTGTCTTTTATTTTAGCTATAATCCAAAGATCTATGAATCTCATAAATAAATGAATGTCTTCTAACACAGAAATACATTGGCAGCTGAAATGTAAACTATTATCCAAATCTGTTGCCACATTCACAGAATTTTACATGAGACATTTGGGATACTTTATGAAATTCGTGTACTTGAAGCATGTTTGCTAGGAAAATCTTGACTAGAACTTAGTTCTCCCTAAGAAATGGAGAATTCCATTCTGTGGAAAATACAAAGTGTATGAATGAAGCTGAGATTCTAAAAGAGATGCTTTAAAAAGGCTTATATTCACTGTAGAGATGATTTATTGCTGCAGTATAAGTACCCAGAGGTGCTTCATACCTGGAAGTGTAAAAATGAGAGTTCTGAGTCTCCTGCAGAAAGGGAAGATTAAGTCTGAGTCCTGTTAAGGAGGCAGAATTTTATTTATGGCATTGAAAAATCTGAAGTGAAGCCGTTCTAGGCTTTTGGGGAATTTTGCCCATCAGCAAGAGTACAAAGCTTCAGCTTCCTCAAGATGTTTATTCATTTGTTTTCCTGTATCCAGAGTTTCCTCTTGCCTTGGCTGCTGCTGTGGCTGTGACACGGCTCCTGCATTGGGTAACTCCTCTAGGCCTGAAGAGTGATGATTCATAGAAACCTCTGCATCAGGATAGATTTGTTTATTTTTCACTTGCATTTAAGAAGCTTTTCCCAGATTTTCAAACTTGTGTGCCTAAATTTCAAATATATAGAAGCTTAGCAAACATGGGTTTAAAACTCAAAGAAGCCTGTTTGGCATAAGTCATCTCCCTAACAAATGAATCCTATTAACCTTGTAAAGACTAAGTTCTGCAATGTAAGCACATGTTTGGGAACTTTGCTTTAAGACTCTTTAATTTTTAATAGAGATTTTGCCTAATATTTTTATTTACATTTGAAGTTAGGTCTTTCTTTGTTATAGCTTTTACCAGAACTTCAGTAAGCAGAAGGGAATTATTTCTGTGCACAGATTGGTGAAAGATGGACATTGATTTTTTTTTTTTTTAAATTAACTGCCACTGACATTAATTAAAGGATTCACAATGATAATAAATTGTTGGAACAGTACTTCATTAAACTTATTTTCTAAAGTAACCCTTAGGGAATAAACAATGGGCTGTCCACTGAAGTCTTATTTATGACTGAAAGCTCTTTTTTACATATGTTCATTGAATTAAACCAAATCAATTTTATATTATCCACATGATTAGTGCACTTTTTTCAGAAGAAGCAATTTACCTGAGCTGCAGTCGATCCTTTAGTCACTGCCTAAACTATTCTGGAAAATAAATGTGGGTGGTTGTAGATGATGCATAAGAAGACTCAATAAGAGAAAAAACTGTTAAGATCTATTTCCTGGGGGAAAAAAAGACTGTGATTTACTTTAAATTTATAAGATTTTATTGAAAATGTGTTTAGATTTTCTCCCTGGGTTTTGGCAGTTCTCTAGTCTATGCTCAGGTCTCCAAAGTGGAATTGTTTGCCAGACTCTTTCAGGAATTACATGATCTAATATCTACAGAAACAGACAGTGCTCAGTTTACTTGAAAAATATTTTCTTTTAGAACAGAAAAAAAATAACTTTGGAATGTGGTTTTAATTTCCAGCATTTCAATGTACTACAGATGTAATAAAATAGGTTGTTCATTAGTAAAGACAAGATATTACTGAGCAAGTGAAATTTCAACAGAGAGCTCTGAATATTGATTAAAGTGTACAAGAATTCCTGTACCAGTGTTTTTTGGCCAGTTCTGTGGAGACACCTTGCAAGCAAAGACCTTCTAAACCACTTTGTTTTTCACTTGGATCCCATTTTCTGCATCATTGGCACAGAATACTTGCACAGAACAGTCATTGTGGTTTTAAGTCTGCTGTTGCCTTTGTGCGGGAAAGCCAGTATTTTTAAATATAGATGGTAATAATATGTTCTCACTGACAAAATAATGTAGAAAACCATTCTGAAATATGGCTCTCTGGAAGCTGAGAGCAATGCAGCTGTTCACTGAGTCCTCTCCTGTTTCTTTTTTAAATCCAGAGCATCTGCCTTCCAAACACTTCAGCATTAAGTCACCCTAATGAAGGCATTTAGGATTGCAGGAAGGAAAAACTGTTCTCCTGTATTCTGGGAACTATCACTAAGATTGGGTGGGGAATAATATGAAATGTAAATATTCTAGAAAATAATAGTAAGGGGAGAGGCCAGAACAGACTTTCACTACTGTAATTTGGGCTGGAATCTTTTCAAGCGGTGCTGGAGCAGTTTGCTGACAGTGCTACAAGACAAAATTGTCTTGGGAGAAAGGAATCACAGGTCTGATGTAGTAGCTGACCAAAAGTTACACTGGGGTTGGAGGCATTTTAATGGCCAAAACATCTCCAGTGTGTTTGTTTCTGGTGTTACACCAAGTCTAGAGCTCTGCTCCAGCATTTCCAGTGAATGTACTGGTTAAACAGAGATTTTTCTGCTGTGGGAGAGAAAAAGAGAAACTTTTGCAACAACGAGAAGTTGATTTGCAGATTTTCCCTCTGGTTCTGCATTTAGAGAGCTGAGCCCAGTTCCGAGCATTCCGTGGGCTTGCACTGTTGCACACATCATTAATGATCCCGGCGCCCGTCAGTGCAGACATGATTTCCGTGGTTAAAATAGGAAATGCATTCATCTGTTTTACATAATATACACAGGCCTGGAGAGAGCCCAAAGGGTCCATCCTCGTGTTCCTGTGCAACTTGAAAGAGAAAGTGAAGGAGTTCCAAGGGAGAGCAGTAGCAGAGGGTGGAAGGAAATAACATTTTTCTGCCTCGGATTGAGCTGCTGCCTTCTGTGTGCTCCGAGCAACAGCAGCTCTTGGAGGTGAGTAGCAAGGGATAAAAGAAATGAATAAGAAGATGGAGAAATATTTCCTTCCTGCTATAGATGCCTTATTTTCTTTAACTGATCTGTTTGCTGGGATTTTTAGCTAAGGTGAGTGGGCATTAAAGCTTTGGATGTTTTAAATGTATTTCTGAGGTTCTGTATTGAGGGAATGCTGCGAGCTTTTAACATGAAGGAATTAGGATTTCTTGGATGTTTTGCTTGTGATAAAATATGCAAGAATGTGTTATTTCTGTGATCATTAGGAATAGAGGAAAAAATTCCATTGGCTCTCTTTTACCTAAGCAAGTAGGATGATTCTTTCAGACTTTTGTGCTCTGAAAAGCCTCCATTCCATAACCAGGAATGTTTTCCTCCCAAACTGGAAACTGGGGATGGTGCTGGCAGATCAATTGCATAACTGTTACATGTGCTTATTTCAGGATCAATAGATACACTTTTCCAATAGGGAGAGGGATTTATGTCTGCAGTTATGTTGCAGGGAAGCTGGAGGGAATGGGGGCAGGAAACAAGGAATTTTTCTCGCTGCAAGTGCCATAGTACTTTTGAGTTTAGGAGTGTGTTGGATAGCTTGTTTTTTTCTTTTTTGCACTGATGAGAATAAGAGTTTGCTAAAAAAATCCAACAGTGCAAGAAAATTTCTGTCTGTGAAACCTCTAAATCTGGTCAGGTAATCTAACAGTTGCCCAGCAAGCCTCTGACTGCATTTTGTTGTAGTTTGAAGATACAGAATGTTTTTATGCTACCTAGTACTTTAGATATTGATGTATATTAATTTTCAAACAACAGTTGAAAAAAATCAGCAAAGAAATGTATTCTTTTAAAGAACGTGAATTTTTTCAGTCATGTATATGAGCCAATATATAGGAGCATTCAGGAGACTATTTTTTTTTCCCTGTAAATTTGGATCTGCATTATGATTAAAGTGCCTGGTGAAATTAAATTCACAAACTTAAAAAGAAGCCATCATTTCCTTTCCTCTCTCACTCTTCCTACACAGTATTCATCTGGTATGTGAAAAGCTGTTCTGTGGCTTCCACATAAAAGCAAAGGGAAAAGAAAGCCAGGGATGATTTAGTTAAATAACGATTATTTTCAGGATCCTTCTAAAGCACAAAACAAAATGTTCTCCAGATACTGTGAAAATATATATGTAATTTCAGATAATCACATGTTATATACCAGAAAGCTGCTATGTTGAAAGCACATTATGAAAATTTTAAAAGCAGGCACTAAAAACTTAGGAAGTGCCAGAATTATAGTTGCCTCTGCAATCTTCACTTGGTTTCTTGTGCATATGTATTGTGATACAGCCTTAAAGTGCACATCACAAACATTTTTCTCCAGTAATCTGTGAGGGTAGAAATTATTAATATATTCTGAAGCTTTTGTATAGTGCTTGTCACTTTTGCTGCTGCACAAAAGCCCTGAGCAGTGTGGGGCTGGAGTGTCCACCTCACAGATTTGAGGGGTGTGCAGAGCATCAGAGAGAGATTTGAAAATGCTGATTTTGACTGCCTCACTTGAGACATGTACCTATGATTCTCCAGACCCATTAGATAAGGCAGCTCTTTACATGCTTAGAGAATAACATCTCACTAAATTCTGTTGTGGATTCTCAACAACCTCAAGATTTACATGGCAGCTATACTGTGAAGATGAGCACCTTGTTTAAATGATTTAATCTTTTCCCCCTGGCACTCTGGCAGGGGTAGGAGAAAGAACCCAGACCTCCAGGGCCTTCTCCATCTTCCTTTTTCCACAGTTCTCTGACCCATCCACAACTTTTGCAGCCAAGTCATCTTACAGTTTCTCAGGGAATGACTGTAGAATATTGCATAAGATGATGTGGCTAACAGCAGGCATGTGAGAGCTCTAATAAAGACTTCAGGGTATCAATTAAAACAGCCCCAGACCTTCTGCACCAGTGTTTTGTCAGCAGAGCTGCTGCAGGGACTTACATGGTGACAAACTGACCTGAAGGTGGAACCTTCACCATCACCCATCAGGTATTTCCCAAGAGAGAAACTATCTAAAATCTTGGACTCCATTTGAGCCTCTGGAGGACAGTGTGCTTTGAATTCAACTTGTTTCATTCCCTTCAGATCTCTCCAGCTGAATTTTGTCTCTCTCGAAATTTTCTTCCTTTCTTTTGTATGTCTAATCCTACACTTTACCATTCCAAGGCATAATTTTTCTTCTCTTCATTCTAAGTCTGGGACAGAGTTTCAGGACGTGCTTTGAAGGCCAATCCAGTCAAGAAGTTGTTCTGCCTTTAGCTATTTGTTTCCTTTCCCACTTGTAGTCCATCATCCTGCACTCAGCTCCTTGTCCCCAGTTTTGCCCACTCAGTGATTTCTGAGGCAATGCTGTGAAGTGTAGCATTGAAATAACCCAGGATATTTCTTTAAAAACAGAAGTTAAATAATACACTCTATAGGGTTAAGGAGATTTGCAGTGTTTCTTTTTAAAGTGAGCCTAGAAAGAATATTTTAATCTCCACTGAAATGAACAATATGGTTTTTTTTTGCCATTGGATTTTTAGTCAATAGATTGAATCTGTAATGTGTAATTTTTTAGAAGTGGTAGCCTTCACAGCATAATAATCTATAATGGCTATGCTGTAAGCATTAAATGTTGGACATAAGAGCATGCTATGAGTGCTGTGTGACTATTGGTATTATGAGTGGGTAAATTATACTTGATTAATTTATGGAGCTCAAATCTTGTCCACCACCAAGCCCTTGTTTCTGTTGGAAATCTGGCACTCTTTTGCAATTAGAAAACAGTCTTAAGCTAACAGAATGTGATTGATGCAGTTTTTAATGGGTTGAAAAGGAGCTGGTTTATAGTAGACCTCGTGAGGTAGCATTGTGGTATTTATTTCAGCATGGTCTTAGTAGAAAGTGCCCAGTACAACTTCAGACTTGTGTGACTGGAGCACTTTCCCTCACTCTCCTGGTGGTGTTTGAGATGAACAAACCTCAAATGAGAACAAGTAAAGGATTTCCAGTTCTGCATTAGTGTTTTCCTTGTCTGTGGTTTTGACCTGAACACTCAACAGACTTGTGTGGTAAAGTGAGAGTGTAGCACAAAGCAGTTTGGAGGAAAAAATCTGCTTTCCTGGGGAAATAGGAATGTTTTCCTTAATGAATGGCCATCAAATGAAATCTGATTAAGCAGAGAAATGATGAAAATCCCAAAGGCCTGTGTGGTGAATGGAATTAGATTCCTCTTTGATTTGTAGCAGACATTTTACCTTTGCATTGCAGTTTGATTTTTCTGTTTCTAATCTCAGAAAGGGATGTCTAGGAGAGGTTACTTTGCATGGTAGGATATTTTCCATCCTTTTTGGCACTTTACAATAAAGACTCTCACTAAAGCAGCTGTAGGGAACCTTAGTGAATAGTGAAACTTCCTAAAATAAATTAGATGAATGACTGCTCTGATTTACACATTTCCTACTATGACCAGAGAACTTTCTCATTGTTTCCAAGCATTGAAAAGAATTTTGTGAATATTTCTAGTGTTAATGAAAACACTGTCCTTTGATTTATATTGTTTAACTTATTTTGTACTGGAGAGTCCTGTGGCAGATGCTCAGATGATATAATCAGTAATAGATCAACTGATTTCATAAGAGCTGGAACGATTTATAGCACTGATAGTGGATCTGCCCTTGAAAAATTATATTCCAAAGTGCTTAGTTGTCTGTAGTAGGAAAACGTTTTGTGGTTAGAAAACTGGATTAAGGAAATGATCTGTTCTTTATTCAGTTCTTCAAGACTTTGGAAAATTCATTAAAATCTGTGCTGTAGTCTGTCTTGTAAAACTGGGCTAACCTCCTTCAGAATATTTAAATTGCAATCTCTTCAAAAACATTCTCATTTATCAATTATTTTCCTGGTTGTTTTTCCATCTTATTTTTTGGAATTGTTATATGGCTCCAAAAATACTCTACACCTACCCTGCAGCTTTTACAACAACAATTTTTTAATTCTAAGTTGCAAAAAAACTCTCCAGAATTCTTATTTGGCAGGACTGTAGAGCCCATCACTCCGGGTGAGCCTGAGCCATTTACAAATAGGGGCTGGTTTGCTGTGAGGAGTGATCACACAACAATTATGTTATGACAGAGATCTAAAACAAGAATGAAGATGTCAGAGCTACCTAGCAGCAAATGTAAATTTAATCTTAAGATAAAAGCATATCAAATATACCCAAGTGGCTTTTTTGCCAGAGATGCTAATTAGAAAAAGCTGGATTATGCATAGCCATTTGCTCCAAATGGCTCTTCAGGGACCAGGTTAAGGAGGAGTTTCCTCTGTGTGGTTTGGTCTTGTTTACAGAAGTTCTTAATATTTGCAAAACTATCTCAGTGAAAAAAAAAAAAGTCAAGTGAATAAAAGAGCCTTAAAGGGGACTTTGGAATTTTCAATTTTCAGTGGGAAAAAAGATCATGAGGAAAAGCTGTAAATTGAAGATATGATCAATGGCAGAAGGTTCCCCTGCTACAGCCTGGATCCTTTTCTCTTCAAGACAAGAGGGAGAAATAATTTTGGCCACAGTAAACAACTGTTTTATCGAACAGCAGTTTTAGGACCCAAAGAACTGAATTCTGAATTTCACCTTGAGTGGTGTTCAGGGCTCAGTTCTAAAGGGTTGAAGGAGTAAGAGCCAAAATACTGTTTAATTTGGGGGGATAGGAGGCCCAGTGCATTCAGGTGCTTAATTTGTAGGAAAGGGCCCATGTAAAAATGAAGTGATCAGGAAAAAAGAAAACCCTAAAATAAACAGTCCAGAAAGCAAGATGCCTACAAGAAGACTTCAAGTGGATAAAAATATACTGTGTTTGAAACCCAGGTGAAAAATATGCCCATAACTCAAGATAAAACTGTTGTAAAACACAATAAATGGCAGTGGAAAAATTAAGGAGATACTGTAGGGAGAAGGTTGGCATTCAAAACTTAAAGTTTGCC